AGAGAGAGAGAGAGAGAGAGAGAGGAAGGCAAGAGGGTCAATTTATAGCAGTTTTTCTCCAGGAGAGGTGAGATTATCAACCATTTAGCATAATTAGCCTAGCTATAGACTACTGATTACCTCCATTTCACTAGCATTTAATGAATTAAGGAAAGAAAATACCAACATATTCATATAACTTGTCCCTTGTACCTTTTAGCACTTAACAGATGAGTCAGTCAGCAGCAGCTCTAACCCATGTCCCTCCTAACCTGCCCTCTTCTAAGTTAAATTAAAGCTGCAGTATGTAACTTTTATATAAATATGTTTTTTTCCACATATTTGTTAAAACTGTCATTATGTTGTGACAGTTTGATATGAGAGGTAATCTGTGAAAAATCTATTTCCTCAGCTTCCTCCCAGTGCTAGAAACAACCAGTCAGTGGCAGGAGAGTTTTAGAGCTGTCAATCACAATCTCATGTGGCTGCTCATCCTTCCTCCCCTTTGCTCTATGCTATTCTGCAGCTAGCATAGCCTGTTGTAAATGCTTAGTCTAGTTAACATAGCTACCAGTGATATATAAACAATTTTCCTGAAACAATAAGTTGTTTCTCCACCATTAGCACATTTAGCAGTGAGTGAATGAAGTTGATTGAGGCCTGGAGCAGAATTTGACTTGGAGACAGGGTTGGAACTGCATACTTTCTGAGGTGTATGCGAACATGTCATCAGCGCCCCACCCCCCAGGTTTAATATGTACGTACAGCTCTCCCTTATTCATGCACTTATATATTACAGTAATTAAATTAAAACCATCGGTTTTTGTTGCCTCCTTAATGTTATTATTCCTTCCTGATATGTGTATAAATTGCAGCTTAGAAAGCAATTAAAGAATGAAACAAAAAATAGGGCAATATTTTATTATTTAATATATTAGTGGGCCAAAGAGCCACTTCTGCCAGCCTCTAGAACCACCTATGGGCTGCAGGTCTGAAGCATTTTGTTAGCATGTTTTCCTTCATTCTTGTAGCTTAATAGGAAGTCAGGTTATCCAAACTGGCAACCCACGTTAATAAAATAATAGTGAAATAACATTGACAACAAAACACAGTATTTATAAAAGATAAAAATATTTTTTCCTACATAGAAAGCCCCAACAAACTAATGGTTGAAAAGAAGCTTATAAGTGGAAATTGTTACATTTTCTTATTAGAGAGGCAAAATTTTCAATTTATACTAGTAGAAGAAATAAATTAATCAGTGTTAAAGGGGAAAACGTTGACACTGTGTTTACTTTGATGGTAATATCTCCCCTCCCCTGGTAAAATCTGAATTTATGTTTAATTTCACATAAATTCTGACTGAGCTTTTCTCTCTGTGGTATTTTAACAAAGTTGTGTGTTCTGTGGTTGATGGACAGTTAGTTTTTAACTCTGTGTTTATGTAAATGTTAGGGTAAACTCTGTCAAAATGTGTATTTTTTGAAAAATAAATGTGTTAAAATCAAATCATTTGTCCTGTTGTTCTTTTGTTCTTGCTTTTTTCTTTCATTCATCAGGAGTATTTCATTGATGGAATTTCCCTACATTCTTGGGTTCATTTGCAGCGCAGAACAACGGCAGGTAGATGACTTTCTCTTGTCCGTTTTTGTATCCAGGGTGATGGGGAGAAGTCACCCCGTCAGCGGAGGCCCTCAAGCCCCAGTTCCAACAGCTCTCTGGGGGGGTATGGACGGTACACCCCGACCCGTTCCCCTCAGAACTACAGCAGACCAGGTAATAACCCCACTGTGCCATGATTCTTTAACCTGTGAAAGAGTAAACTTGATTTGTAAAACAGAAATTCTAAGGGATATGGGCAATATCGCCATGGATGTTCATCGCTGCTAGTGATAGTGTTTTCTCTCAATGCATCTGCTTCAAACAAAGCAATAGAAACAATAGCTAAACATTTTCATTTTAAACTGCCAGTTTTGAATTAAAGTGCCATTAGACATTATCTAAATGTCTAATGGCATTTTGTTGTCGTTTTTTTTTTTTGGAAACTGTAATTATCTAACTTAGAACATATTTGTGAAAACACTTTAAGTTCTTTGGACTGAAGAGTTGGACAACTCAATAGGGTTTTGACAAATATTTCCACGTTTCTTATGTAATTGGACATCCAGGACCAGAAGTACACATGGGTGCTAAATACAGCAGCCTGGCCCGTGATTCCAGTTCCCTCCTTTCACCTAAACCCTTCCTGGGTGGTGTAAGGAACCCCTCCACCTTGGCAAGGGATACCTCCTCCCTCCCAGCACACTGCTCTGGCAGGGCTGAAGGGAGTGGGGGTGCTGTAGGCATTGGCAAGTACTCACCAACACCTCTAAGTGGCAGTGCAAGCTTGTCTTTACATCTGAACCCTACAACCCTGGCAATGCTCCAGCAGCACAACTACATCCCTTATTTCAGAGGTATCAAAGCATGTTTGAGACGGAGTGACTGGAGGAGTTGCTGGGATTGTTGCTGCTGTCAGCCTTAAGGAAGGAAAACAAACTAGCAAAAGCTGTAATGTGATATACCTAAAATCTGTCAAACCTTAGTAGAAAAGCTATAAATCTCTTGGAAAGATGATGTGGGTTTCAACAAAGCAGCAACATGCCTGCCAACTCTGTTTTTCGTCTTACCACCAAGGCCCTCATGAATGGGAGTGCTGTTAAAGGCTTTCTGAATTAACTGTTAACCCTGGGTTGTGGTTTAACATGGATTCATTGTGTGTTGGAAGCTCTTAATCTGTGGATTCTTTAACTATAGATTGATGACCTACCATTGGAAACAGAATATCTTATTACATGGGACTATATTCACTATTTTTCAAGCCATAAAGATTCATGTTCTTTCTTTTTTTTTAAAACAAAAGCCATGAAACTGATAATGCTATTCACGATATCACACACTCATAAAATCAACATCACAAACCAGCACTGTAACTAGTCACCCTCTGAAACCCCTGCTGAAAGGCTTGTCCAACAACTTTCCTGGGCCTCATCTTCTCCCCATTGCTTGATGTCCCTCACCCCTCAGGGTTCAAACAGGACCCCGTTCCCGGTCCTAAGCCTAGGACATCCCTGCACCTCAATTTACCACCTCCAAACGGTAAAGACACCATTAGTCTTTCTCTTGTTTGTGTCTCTTCTCCCCCTTGTGGAGTAGTTCGGAGATTTTGTGATGTTGTTGTTTGGTATCGTGGTGTTGCTGAGTTTCATGGGATTCCTCAAAGAATATTCACAGGACCATTGACTTCTTGTATTCTGCTTGCTCTGTTCACTTGTATTTGTGGACGTGGTGTTGTGGTGCATGGTTTAACTCAATGTAGAAGTTCTAATTGTGATGCTTTTTCATTTGACATTTAGCTTTATTAAGGTTGGGGATTTCATTTTGTGCCCACCTGTTTAGATTACTGTCCCCATTGTTTGCCAGCCTTTGACATTTTATCAACTATTAATCTGAATAACTGAATAATCCCTATTTATGTGTCATATGGCCTTATCTTCTTAATGTTCAACTCTAGCTGTGTTCATATGAATGTCTTGTTATATATCAGACAACTGGCTCAATTTGAAATTCTTATTTTTTTTTTCTTAATGTTTTGTTAAAGATTTTCCACAAGGACAGATCACTTCACTTTTGACTCAAGCATCTTGTTTCTGTTAGGTTCAGATGGTGTTGTTCCAGAAGTTCTCTTGTTTTATGCAGTTAATCAAACCAAATTGTTGCTGTCATGTACTTTTTTATACAAATGAACCATTCCCCTTGTCTTGTCAGACAACCTGTACCTTTTCTACCTTTTTCAAATAACTATCTTGCGACTTCAGCCCAGTAGTTTAAAATGCAATTCTAGAGTTTGAAACAGTTCATGTAAAATTTTTTGAATATAAACATCCCCTTTCCAGCAACCAGCTTCCAAAGATTACTTGCAGTAATTTTTTAAATTTCAATTTCACCTTAATGGGGCAGCATCATTCCAAAACGACTTCTTTGAGCTTTACATCATGATATGTTATTCCCTCATCAAAAATTATTAATTATTTCATTCATGTCTGATAAATCCTTTAATGTACATGGCAATCATTCAGATGTGTAAAATGCCTAGTTGGATCTAGTCCCGCCTTGGATCTAGTGCAGTGTCCAAGCTCCTACAGACTAGCCAGTAGCTGCTTCTCAGTGCAATGCTGGTAAAAACACTGTTAAAGGGTTATCAGAGAGGGACTATTGTGATGATTTCCTGAAGGTAGAGTTGTGATGTGTTTTTCAAGAGACAGAAGCCAAATTTCAAGGTGTTAAATCAGGAAGTGAAATTTCTTTTAAGTTTTATATA